CCAAATCCACAGGAGGGCAAAGGTCAGAATTCCCAAAATTTGGGGGAATTTTTAAAGAATTTTTTGGGGGTTTTTTTGTCCTTTTCTGTCTCTTTTTTGTCCCCTTTTTGTCCCTTTTTTGTTATTTTTTGTCCCTTTTTTCCCCTCTTTTTTCTCATTTTTCTCCCTTTTTATTTTTTTTCTCCTTTTTTATCTTTTTTCTCCCTTTTTATTTTTTTTCTCCCTTTTTATCTTTTTTTCTCCCTTTTTCCCCCTTTTTTCCTCTTTTTTCTCACTTTTTTCCTATTTTTTCTCCATTTTTTTCCCTTTTTTCCCTTTTTTCTCTCATTTTTCTCCCATTTTTTCTCCATTTTTTCCCATTTTTTCTCCCATTTTTTCCCCATTTTTTCCCCATTTTTTTTCCCTTTTTTTCCCATTTTTTTCCCTTTTTTTCCCATTTTTTTTCCCCTTTTTTCCCCTGTTTCCTCATTTTTTCTCCCATTCTTTCTCCCTTTTTTCCCATTTTTCTCCCATTTTTTCCCTTTTTTCCACTTTTTTCCCTTTTTTCACCTTTTCCCCCTTTTTTCCCATTTTTTCTCCCATTTTTTCCCATTTTTACTCCCATTTTTTTCCCTTTTTTCCCATTTTTTTCCCTTTTTTTCCTATTTTTCCCCTATTTTTTCCCCATTTTTTCCCCATTTTTTTTCCCTTTTTTCTCCCCATTTTTTTCCCTTTTTTCCCTTTTTTCTCTCATTTTTTTCCCATTTTTTCTCCCATTTTTTTCCCTTTTTTCCCCATTTTCCCCATTTTTTTCCCTTTTTTCCCTTTTTTCCCCTTTTCCCCCTTTTTTCCCATTTTTTTCCCATTTTTTCCCATTTTTACTCCCATTTTTTTCCCATTTTTACTCCTTTTTTTCCCTTTTTTTCCCATTTTTCTCCCATTTTTTCCCCTTTTTTTCCCCCCTTTTTTTCCCTTTTTTTCCCATTTCTTTCCTTTTTTTTTCCCCATTTTTTTCCCCATTTTCCCCCCTTTTTTCCCATTTTTTTCCCCTTTTTTCTCCCTTTTTTTTTTCCTTTTTATCCCTTTTTTTCCCATTTTTTCCCCATTTTTTCCACATTTTTTTCTCCATTTTTCCCCCCTTTTTTCCCATTTTTTTCCCTTTTTTCCCCCCTTTTTTCCCCTTTTTTCTCCCTTTTTTTTTCCCCTTTTTTTTTCCTTTTTTTTTCCCCTTTTTTCCCATTTTTTCCCCTTTTTTCTCCCTTTTTCCCCCCATTTTTTCTCCCTTTTTTTTTCATTTTTTCCCCCTTTTTTTTCCCTTTTTTTCCCATTTTTTCTCCCTTTTTCCCCTTTTTCCTCATTTTTTCCCCCATTTTTTTCCCCATTTTTTCCCTTCTTTTCCCCATTTTTTTTCCCCATTTTTTTTCCATTTTTTTCCCCTTTTTCCTCATTTTTTATCCCATTTTTCCCCCATTTTTTCCCATTTTTTTCCCCTTTTTTCTCCCCTTTTTTTCCCCATTTTTTTCCCTTTTTCCCCATTTTTTCTCATTTTTTATCCCATTTTTTTTTCCCATTTTTTATCCCATTTTTTCCCTTTTTTTCCCCATTTTCCCCCATTTCCCCCTCCCCGGTGCCATCTCGCTGTCCCCAGCCCGCCTCTGTCCCCTGCTGTCCCCAGGGTGTCCCCAAGGTCCCCGAGGAGGAGGAGGAGGAGGAGGATGAGGACGAGGACGAGGACGAGGACGAGGAAGACTCCGAGGACGCCCTGGGGGAGTTCGACTTCCTGGGGACACCTGGGGACACCTTGGGGACACCTGGGGACATCAGAGGTGAGCCTGGGGACACCTGGGGACACCTGGGGACATTTGGGGACACCTTGGGGACACCTGGGGACAGCTGGGGACACCTGGGGACACCTGGGGACACCTTGGGGACACCTTGGGGACACCTTGGGGACATTTGGGGACATTCCTGACCCTGCCCTCATTGTCACAGAGAGCCACCGGTGCCACCTGCGGGACGGGGACCTCGGGCCACCGCGGCCACCGCGGCCACCTGAAGGTAGGGACACGCCTGTCACCCGTGTGTGTCACCTGTGTGTCACCTGTGTGTCACCTGTGTGTCACCCGTGTGTGTCACCTGTGTGTCCTGTGTCACCTGTGTGTCACCCGTGTGTGTCACCTCTGTCACCTGTGTGTCACCTGTGTGTCACCTGTGTGTCACCCGTGTGTGTCACCTCTGTCACCTGTGTGTCACCTGTGTGTCATCTCTGTCATCTGTGTCACC